TTGTTATTATTAAATAATTTGCTTTTTTATTTTGTTTTATTTTTTTATTGAAAATTAAATAGTGAAATTTAAAAAATGCTTCTCGAGATGACCAAAGAAATTAAGTATTTTGTAAAAAAAAAAATGTTTTCGAAAAATTGTCCCACAAAAACTCTTCATGCATTTAAAAAGAAATAAAAAATAAATTATTTAAATAGATTCAGAAAAATGTTAAAAGAGATTAAGTAAAAAAAAGATTCTTTATCAAGTGTAATTCTAAAAAAGTCGATTTTCTTTATAGTTTTAGTTAAAAATTTGCTTTTCTTTATCAATTTCATTTAAGTTAAATTTGAATTTTGAAAATGATGATTTTTGTACCTTTGGTTTCAAATTTAGTTTTAAAATTAAAACAGATTTTTATTTAAATCCGCAAATCATTAAGAAACTCTAATAGATTTAAACAGATTAGACCTTGTATAGAGAGTTTATATTAAAAAACTACTAAATATTATTTGTGTCAATGTAATAATACTCACCTCTAATCCATTAATGCCCTTGGTCAATATTAAAAATGATTATTGACCGCTAGGAGCTAGGAGAAAAAGACAACTTTCTAATATTTCGACCTTTTACAAGCAGTATAGTGAAAAAAATGAAAGAATTTATAATAAAATAAAAAAAAATTATAGAATAACAAAAACTTTTTGATTAGCCAAATTGGCCGTCCTGTTTCGAAAGCCGAGAGCCACATCTCCATCCCCATCTCCAGGAGGGGCCCCTCCGTCATCCGGACCGACTACTTGGGGCAGGACGAGGACCCCGGGACCTCCTTCATCTACCCCCACCTCCAAGTCGGGGGTATTGGAGTTTGGCCCAAAAGCAGCCCTTGTTTTGGGTCCAAGCAACACTTGTTGCTCAACGACGTCTCGTTCGAGATCCGCGGGGGCGAAATCATGGCCATAATGGCCACGTCCGAGGAAGAGGGCACAGCTCTGCTCGACTTGGTGGCCGGATACGCGAAACCCGTCGTGGGGGACATCATTCTCAATGGCCAAACCGTCAAATCGGAAATGTTGAGAATTCGCGTCGCGTACGTCCAAAGTGACTCTCATTTGTGCAAAGACATGACTGTTATTCAAACTTTACGGTTCCATTATGATCTCAAGAAGCCCACCGACAAGTTGGGCTATCTCAAGATCGATGCCATGGATCGGATCAACGTTTTGATCGAGGATTTGGGCTTGGAGCAAGTGAGGAACACGAAAGTGGCCTCGATGACGATCTCGGAGAGGAGAAGGTTGAATGTGGCTTGTCATTTGTTGCTCGATACGGATATTGTGGTTTTGGATCAGCCAACGAGAGGAATGGACATTTTTGATACGTTCTTCTTAGTTGAGTATTTGAGACAATGGGCCAATGGGGGGGCCGGAAATGCCCTAGGGAGGATTGTTATTCTGACGCTGCATCCGCCCACGTATGAGATTTTTACAATGTTGTCGAGGATTTTGCTCATTTCCGCCGGAAGGACCATGTTTAGTGGGAGGAGGAGGGACATGTTGCCATATTTCGCTCTGGTGGATTATCCCTGTCCCTCGTTCAAGAACCCATCGGATTATTATCGTAAGACAACCAATTTCGAGGTTTTATCGCAAGTTTTTGTTACCACAAATTCAGATCTAGAGCTCTATTACCATATTTTCTTAGCTTCTGAGTTTTTGTTTATTATTATTGGTTCATAAGAAAATGATTTTTTATTTCAAACTTGCCAAATTTTGTCGCTGAGTAAGAAAAAATAAAATGCGAGAGGAAATTTTTGTCTCAGAACCTGAGCTAATGTCAGAATGTAACTGTTTCAAATCTAGTGTCGATTAAAATATCATTTTTTCTGCTTTATGTCGCCAGGTAAAAATAAATAAAAATAAGATGAAAATCTGTCTTAGAACCTGAGCTAAATTAGAACCTACGTATCTATCTCATGTTTCGTGTTAAAGTCTCATTTTCTCTCATTTTTGTCTCTGAGTAAGAAGAAGTAAAAAATAAGGGGAAATTACTGTCTCAGAATCTGAGCTGATATCGGAATCTATGTGCCTGTCTTATGTCTAGTGTTGATTAAAGGCTCAAAAAATAAAAGGAAATTTTTGTCTCAGAATTTGTGTTTGTCATGTCTAGTGTAGATTAAAGTCTCAATTTGTCTCATATTCGTCGCTGAGTACGAAACAAGATGAAATTTCTATCTCAGAACTGAGCTGACATCTGAATCTATGTAACGGACTTATATCAAGTTTCATTTTTTTTATTTTTGTCGAGTCAGAAAAAAAGTCAGAAAAAGTAAGAAATAAGATGAAATTTCTGTCTCAGAACCTGAGCTAAATTAGAACCTACGTCTCCTGTCTCATGCTTAGTGTTAAAGTCTCATTTTCTCTCATTTTCATCGCTGAGTAAGTAAAACATAAGAGAAAATTTCTGTCTAAGAACCTGAGCTAATATCAAAATCTATGTGTCTGTCTCATGTCTAGTGTTGATTAAAGACTCATTTTCTCTTATTTTTGTCGCTGAGTAAGAAGAAGTAAAAAATAAGAGAAAATTACTGTCGCAGAATCGGAGCTGATTTCAGAATCTATGTGCCTGTCTCATGTCTAGTGTTGATTAAAAAACTTATTTTGTGGATTAAAGACTCATTTTCTCTCATTTTTGTCGTTGAGTAAGATGAAGTAAAAAATAAGAGGAGATTACTGTCTCAGAATCTATGTGTTAGTCATGTCTAGTGTAGATTAAAGTCTTATTTTTTCTCATATTCATCGCTGAGTAAGAAATAAAATGAAATTTTTATATCAGAACTGAATTGACACCAGAATCTATGCAACTGAGTAAGAAAAAGTAAGAAATAAGAAGAAAATTTTGTTTCAGAACCTGAGATAATATCAAAACCAATGTTTCATGTTGATTAAAGTATCATTTTCTCTTTTATTTTGTCTCAATTTTGTCGCTGAGTAAGAAAAAGTAAGAAATGGGAGAAAATTTCTGTCTCATTTTTAGTGTTGATTAAAGTCTCATTTTCTTTTTTCGTCTATTTTTGGTCAAATCTGTTGTTAATTCGCCTGACTGAAATATAAAACTACTCATATTCTCAGAAACTCAGTTCTACTTTTAAGAAATTGTTGCTTGAAAATTAAACTATTAAAACATTATCAGTCTCAGTTTCTGAATTGATTAGATTGTTGCTTGTCTTTATAAAAATCAACAATTTATAACTTTCTACCTTAGAACCTAAGATTTGAATTTAGTTTTGAGGCTTAAATCTTGATTTTCTAGGGGTTAATGATTAAATTATTATCACAGTTTACTTTGTTGCCTTAGATACAGTGACTGTCTTAGATACTGAGCTCATATCTGTAGAAATTTTGAGATTTTTTTTGTGGCAAACATGTTTTTTTAAATTTTAAGTAAACTCACTGATTTACATCCTGAGCTAATGTCTACAAATTTGTATAGCTCAGCACTTGAGCGATTTTAAGATTACTTTAGATTTAATAAATCCAATATTAGAAACTGAGATACAATTCTAAAAATATTGTTTGAAAATTTAATGTTCGGCTACACTATAGCATTAGATTCTGACTATTCTGAGACTATCAAGATTTGACTTTTTCTAATTATTTTCTTGAATTTTAATATACTTTTTTCTTTTTTTGTAATAATTTATCACGTTTTTTAGATCTTGAGTTAATTAATAGACAGCATAGTCGAACCTATATCCTGAGTTAATTAGTTAATTTCCTGAGATTTCTCAGAGTTAAATAAAGTTTTGAAATAATTTATCATATCCTGAGATAATTAATAAAGAGTTTAGTTAAACTTATATCTTGAGTTAATGTATTTATTTCCTGAGAAACTTTGTTTGGCCATTTTTTTTATGGTTGTAATTTATTTTTTAGTCGACTTAGTGACCCTCGATGACCTCTCAGCCGAAGCGATGCTAGAATCGTCCCAAAGAATCGAACAATTGGCTGAGGTTTTCCGCCAAAAACAAGAACCAATGAGCGACCCAGGTCCCCCCTCAACCCTCCCAATGACCGTCCGAAACTCAAATTTTCTAGTACAAGGTTTCGTTTTATTCACGTAAGCCTCCAATCACCTCAAATCTCATTTCTCACTCAATTTTTCCAGTAAGTCAATGATTTACACACAACCGGCAACTTTCATCACTTGGTTGACCCTCATCGTAATTTCAGCGAGTCTCTCGCTGATCATTGGTGCAATATTCTGGGATGTGCCTAACACTGACCCCCAATTAAACTTAAATGACAGACTTGGGTACCACTACAGTGTGATGTGCGTCATGGCGTGGCCACTTTTACTCCTTCTGGCGCTGAGCGAAGTCCAGAGGAATAAAAATACGGTGGAGAGGGATATCAAGGATGGGTTGTACTCCCGACTGACTTACATTGTTTCAAAAGTAAGCATGATTTTTTTTTGTTTTTTTATTATTTTTTTACTTTTTCTTCTTCTTTTCTTAATTTCTTTTTGCTTTTTTATAATTTTTATATTTGTTTATTTTTTTACTAACTTTATTCCATAAATAAGCGCTTTTTGATTTTTTTGATAATCATCTTAATTTTTTTACTGACTTACATTGTTTCAAAAGAAAATCCAAATTTTTTGTTTTTTATTTTATTTTTTTTTAATTTTTTTTGTTTATTTTTACTGCCTTACATTGTTTCAAAAGTAGGGCTTAATTTTTTGT